TAAAATCTAAATTTAAGTTTTTAATTTAAATTTTACTTGAAATGCAATGAACCCTGTAGGCATCACTGTTCTCTTAGCAGTCATTTACATGATAGTAAGAATTTTAGAATAAAAGGGGCAGAAGAAAAGTGGAAAGAGAGAGAGAGAGAGAGAGAGAGAGAGCAATGAACTATATAACAATTTTGAGTTTTTGAGTAGGGCTAACACTGTTTTACAATTAAATGGGAAGACTGCCAATTGATTATCATGCAATATCTATAACGAAGACATACAGTTTATTTCAGAGTTCTCCATGTAATAGGTCCACTGACTACTGAATGCTAAATATGGAATTATATATGAAATTAATACTTCTACCTTTAGAACAAATAAACAAATAAAGATTAATGATTTATTGAGTTTCAGTTATATACATAAATCTGTACTTGTTGACTCTCAACCTTCTCACACATTAGAATCAAATGGACAGCTGAACAACTATTGTCCTGCTGCACCCCCAGACTAATTAAATCAGAAATTCTAAGGATGAGGTCTAAAACTTCCACTATAGATCCTCATGTAATGCTAATTTTGGTCTTTCTTTTGGGTAAAATGACCTTGTCATTGATTTTTAATGCTTGTGCAGGGAAAATTAGACCTAAAGGCAGAGTTTGAATCTTTACATTAGTAAACCTATTTCCTAAATCTGACTCTGTTTAAAGGTGCTTGATAAATTTTTCTTACCACTCTTTGACCTGGGAGAAGTACTTAATTTCTCCAGTAGGAACCAACATACATCTATTAATCAGTCTTTATTAACAATACTTTAATAGATGGCTTCATTTTTTTTGTCTATGGCAAATGATTTCATTTAATTCTGATGGCAAACATGTGAAGTCTCTAATACCTTCTTAATTTGATAAATAAGGAAATTAAGGTTCAGAGAAGTGAAAAATTTACTCCACATAATAAACGGTTGTTTATTGAGTGGTTATGATGTGACGAATGTAGTACACTATCTTTGGCACATTATCTTGAGGTGAGGTTCACATTGTCATACTAATGTTCCCTAGGGGACATTCCAGTCTGTGGACTGCTGATGTGTCAAGAAGCTCTGGGGGGAAAAAAACCAAGATTCTGTGATCTAACAGGTTTGGGAAATGCCGAATAGTTTTCCACCTTGTTGGAAACTCTTGATCCATGACAATAAATTAAATACACTGAGATATGGTGCAGGAAAGAAATGTTCAGTGGGATGCTCTTATATTCAACCATGAAAATCTTACTTGAGAAATACTTACCAATGGAACTCATTTTGAAAAATAATCCTCCAAGATAACCTTATGCTTTAGAAATGATGCTCCTTATTTTTTAAGAAATTATATATTAGAAAACTAAGACTGACAAATTCAGCAACTTACCTATAGTCATTTCACAAGTGGCTGTACTTGAACCTAAGTTTGGATAGTTTATAAAATTGTTTTCTGATTCTAATGTTTGTGATTCTAATCATGGACTTTGACATCTGTTTCAGTTAGTAAAGTTGAATTAAAATTGCTGAAAAAATCAAGGGTAGTTGTGTATGTGAAAATATCTTGAAAACTATAAAACAGTATTAAACATCCAAATTAGGTAGTACATAGTCTAAAGGAGTATATACATGTTATTTTTAAAGGGATCATTTCTTAAATCTCTAAATTATACTTTTAAATGACGATCTCTGTAGAAAGGCAAGGTTTGTTAGTAATTGTTAAACTTGGCTTTTTATACTTCATCAATTACCTATGAAGTTTTTGGTAGCATTTTTGTGTACTAAATAGTTTTGGAAAAGTAAACAGAAGTAGTCTGCAGTCTCTATATGCTGAAGCAATAAAATATGAAACTAAGTAAAATGTGCTATTTATCTCAACATGTAGAAATGTGAATTCTCACTTGAAACAAAGGGTAGACTGCTTGTACTTCAATGATGGCAAGTGAATAGGAGTATAATTTCTGGGTAATTTCTTAAGAGTACATTTATTTATAGAGGAAGGAAAGACTGAGAAGAAATAAGGTGAACTTCCTTTACTGGAGAAATTTAGGGCTGATTGTAGAGATTTGTGATTCAAAATAGGAACCCATTTAAAGCTAAGCAAGGAGAAGGCAATGCAATGTGACTGCACAGCTGGCCAATCTCTACTTCTGAGCAACATATTTTAGGAGATCACTTGATGTGTCAAGAGGTAATCCCATTAAAGAGAACAAAGATCAATTGATCCAATATCGAGGGAAGATAAAAGGCAGCTTCAGTTTCCCTACTCACTGTGAAGGGGAAACAAGCCCAGAGGGACCAGCAGACATTCTCTGTCACAATAAATTAAGTAGGCAGTTGGTTTTCTGTGTCACCAAGTTGAGCTAGTGTGGGGATTACTTACAGCATTTTGAATGCAGGTGGAAAATAAATCTACAGAGATCTGTAACTAATGCATATGGAAATTCTTTGCTGTATTTATTTTTTTCTCCTTGCCCTTCTCTCCAACACACTTGGAATGAATTAATAATGGTGATGGATCCACAGAAATGAGTGTGCAGTGGCAATGCTAGAAAAGATTGCTTTGAGAACAACCACTGTATCCTGGGTGACTGGGAAGGAATGAAATAACATTTGTGGAAAGATGTTCATCAATGTGAAGAGTGAGGGTGAGTGAGCAGTAAATACAAGATGCTGTAAATTAGTTCACAGCTCAGGACTTTGCTTGGATCTTCAAAGAAATAAATATAGCTTGAAAAAATATCACAGTTCCTTAGAGACTCTAAACCAATAGAAGATTGGTACATTCTATAAGTAAATACTGTTGGGGAGCTTGATATTATTCATTTTTGCTCAGGAATTACTCTTGACTGTGTTGTGCTTCCATGAGTGATGTTCAACTTAGGGAATGCTCTTCTGCATTGATGCCAGAGGTTCAAGTTCAATCATGATTCTCTGGATCATAGTTTTCGAATCTTTAAGATGAAAGATGCCTTTGAGTCCTTGTGTAAATAATACATTTTAAATTGTGGGATCAATTTGAATTAAAAATTAACATTGTTGTGGAGTTATGTGTACTTATTGAATGTGTAAAAGCTTCAGGAAGTTTGAAATTTGTGAATCTTAGGAACACATGGAACAGAGAGAAGGAAAGAGGAGGAGGAAAGGTCACAAAGATGAAAAGAAGTCCACAGAGTTAGTGTTTTGTTTTTATGCTTTGGACTGTTGAAAATCTGATTCTCCTTTTTCATGAGGAATGAGTCACTTATTTTTAATGTATGAAGACAGAATGAAGATGATTATTTTGGAAAGAGTAGATTCCTACATATATACATACAAGAGTCTAAATTCTCCTAATAGGACCCTGCTTCAACATATAGTCAGTCCATCTCTCTTTCCAGTGCATTAAATTCCATGTCTAGAGTAGTGTACATGAGTTTGCTAGCATAAAGGGATAGGGATTTAGAATTATGTATGCTTACTAGATACAGACATAATCAACAACAGCAATTAGAAGAAACAATTTCTACTGGGTACATCTTTTAAAAAAACTGATTATACAGTATGAACTGAAGACTGTGTTGGAATCCCTTTCTCCTCTCAAATTAATTTGCCACATTCTAAATCCATAGATAAAGTAGTTCCAGAAGTGGAGTTGGTTGGATGGGTTTGCTTACACTGCAGTCCATAAAAGAAACAAAAAGCCTTGCATGCAAAAGAAATGAGAAAAAGTATGGAAAAATGAATAAATCAAAAGCAAGAATGAGTGTTGAAATGAAAATTTAAACCAAATGAATCTGGAAATTATGAGAAGCACATTAAAGCATAATATATTCAAGCTTTTATTTTTCAAATTAGTTGCATAAAACAAGACACCTTAAGAGCAAATTGAAAGTTAAAGCATGTCAGTCCATTTCCCTCATAATTAAAGGCAGTTTTGTACAGTGTGGTCCAGGAAAGGGATGCTCAATATTTCCACAATGGCTTTGCCATTCTGAGGAAGATTCTCAAGAAAACAGTTATAATAAATCATCCCCAGGTTTGGGTGCATAAAGAAAGCTTCCACTTAAAAGAAATGAATATAGAATCAGATTATTTATCAGAACCAGCTACATAATCTGCAGGGTACAGCATAAAATGAAAAAATGTGAGCCTCCTTGTTAAAGACATTATTAAAAATTTCAAGTTAGAAACAACAGAGCCTGAAACTGGCTCTGTTATTAATAGTCCATGATCTTGAAATTTTAACAATATCTTTAAATTAAGTGAGTTGCCTAATGCAGAGCAATGGCCATGAGCTTTGCATTTTGTTTATTCTAGTATGCTTATACAGGAATTATCTTAAATCACAATTATCCTTTTCAGAAGAGTCTAAATTCCTGGTGTGAGTTCCGTTAAAGAATAAATAAGCAGGTGTGGTCGACTATTGTAATCATTCTGTAATCCTAAATACAATTTTGAAAAATAAAGTCTCAAATATATTTTATTGCTTTTTGTGTTGTCATATTCCTGACAAAAATTGAGTGAATTATCCTTTTACCAATCAAACCTTGAAAGAAGTAAATGCTCAATCTCAAAATACTACCTTTATATTTTTATATAAATTGTTTGGCATTAATACATGTGCTCAGAATCTACATATTAAGGGGTAGATTTGTCTCCAATTTTGGATTTCTTTCTTTCAACATGTATCTACAGTTTCCATCTTAAGAGCAAATAACTATCAAAAAATCAACTGAATTTGGAATTTGTACACTGTTCATTCCAAATAGTGCTAATTGGATTTAGTGTATAAGGTTCTTCCTTCTTCTCATTAATAAATGATGGAGCTACAGCACCAGCAGCACCTGGCAGAGATTCAATAGCTCTTTGCTCTAACTCAAAAATGGCTCTTCTGGGCATCTAATTCAATGGACTGTTATCAAAAAGAGGCGAACATCCTTAAAAACCTCAACCTTAAGACAGATAATTCAAGCTAAAAACTACCCAGTCTTAGAAAGAGAGGACTCACCTGGTCATTATCACTGTTCTTCCGCGATTTGTAAATAAATTCTCCAATGGCTACAAATACAGAAAGGACCAGTCCAGCAGCCAGGACAATGAAGATGCCCCCAATATTTTCTACTCCCAGAGCACTGGCCTCTTTGCTATCTTCTTCAGGGCAGCCATTTCCCCGCCACCATTTCTCTTTCATCATATGCAGCTTCCCCTCTTCTTGTAGTTGAAGGATAGCAATTGTAATTTTATCCCGGTAAGGAGAGCCTGAAAGTGGGGTCATTTGGATATTGATCACCAAAGAGTTGAAGAAAGCATCGATTTATTTTACTATGGTTTTTGCTAAATGCTGTAAGGGTACTCTATGAAACCCCAGACAACTTATTGACTAGCCAAGGGCAGGAAAGGCCAATCTTATATTTTGAAGACTCTAAATAATTATGAAAAGGAAAGCTGACATGTTGAGATTCACATTTGAGCAAACTGTTTTCTCTTTGTAGAATTAGAAAAGCCGAGCTAGGAATTCTATGGCATATTTCCGATTCTGGTAAGTTCATCACAAATCTCTTCACATATCTAGAGATTTCATCACTGAGATTATTATTTTTTTTCAAGACTTTTTGTAATCTCAGATTTTAACTGAGTTGGGCCATTTCCTCTTCTTCCCAAGAGAGAGACTGTTGAGATATTTCCTAGCCTCCTTTACAGGAGGGTCCTGGTATGTTCAGGTCCTGTATCATGAATCTTTCTAAAATGATTTTTTTTTTTTACTCTCCCCAAATAGACAGCAAGAAGACTGAGATTTCAAGTTATCAGGAATGGTGTAACCACAAAAATAGAAGGAACTTGAGTCCTCATGACTGCAGGAAACAGAGCTTCTCTTCCAATCTACATCAGACTGTGACAAAGTCAAAGAATAACCATTTACTGTACAAGGCACTGAAAATTTGCTGATGTTGGTTATAGCTTTTTATTCATACTGACCTACTTATCTATTATGATAAATTTACTACAGGTTTTGAATAATTTGAAGGTCTTAGAAAATTCAGTTTTGTTCAGAAAATTGGCAAGGACTTTATTGATAATATTAATGCTCTATTTTGAAGTAATGGTGATGAATGTTTAATTATGTAAGGGTTAGAGATACCAACATCTATTTGTGGGTTTAGCTTCTCAGTGCTGGTTTTCTCTACTAAGCAATGTAAAGGAAGAGACAAAGCAAGATTCTTTAACTCAATTTCTCCTTGGATAATAAGAATTTTTGCTAGCACTTCTTTTACTCAGTAGGAAAATAATACACCTACACCCTGGCTTTCTTTGCCTATACATTTTAAAGCACTTCTTGGTTGAGGCAAATTGAAAAATTAAACATCTTAGGACAAGAAAAAAATCCCAGGAATTATATAGTTCAGTTCACCAGCTACAAGATGGAAAAAACTTCAAATATGAAAGCATGAATGAAACTCATAGTTACTGGCAGGGCCAAGAATCAAACTCAATTTTCTTTATTATTTCTCAGTGTTATTCTCAGGCAAATGCTTCCACACCCACATGTTCTTTATGTCCTATGGCATGGTTGAAGTTTAAAAGGCAGAGGATTAACATTTGTGGCAATTGTCATTTCTTTCCTCCTAAGATTAAAAAAAAATGTAAGCATTCAAAATCAAGTTTAAAAAAAGAATACAATGCTTTGGAGGGAGATTATGGCTTGCCAATTAAGAGTATAGGTTTTTGGTGAGAAAATGGGGCTTGGAAGTCAAATTAAAAGGTATTTGCTGTTTGCTTAAACACCTCAAGAGTAATGGCTACTGTTAAAATTAGCACCATTAACATACTGATAGCCTTGAACAGTTGTGGAGCACTTTGTTTTAAGGTATATGGAAGTGCTTTGCAGAGTGCAACAACAGTTCTCATGGCGGTGGTTGCAGCAGTGATGGTCAAGGTATACACCATGGGTACTCAGTGAATGTTGACTGACGCTTTCCTTCTGCCTTCAGGGTGCACAAGACCTAAAGCATTCCAGACAGATGGAGGTGCAATCCCTGCTTAAAGTCTGTCTCTAAGGAAGGCAATTTCCAGCCTCCCTGTAACCCCATTTAAACCTTAACTGCTCTCATTCTCTTGAAGTTTTACTTTAAACCCTCAGGTGGCACATTTCCAGAGCTTCTGTCCTGAGAGTCTCTAAGAAGTAAAGTTTTCAATTTTGAGTTATGAGTGAGCCAACTTTGTCTATCTTCCACTGTGGCAGAGAAGTCAGGACAAGACTGAAATGGGTGGAAAGTTTTTAAATATCTGCAGATATTTTACTTTCAGGCTTTGTTGTTGCTCCTTAAATGGACTGAATGACACTAGAAGTGATTCATTACAAGTCACTTGAAAAAATGGATATGTCTACACAAAGATCTTCCCGAATAGAAACTGATCTTTCTTAAAGAGTCAATTCATCATAGAAGACATATCTCACACATTTTTCCAACAGCTGTATCCTCAATGGATGCATTCTCTCTGAGGTCTGCCATCTGTTCCAATTATTCCTCATTGTTTTGGGTTTAAAAGCATGACAGGTTTATAACCGTTATGAAAAATTCCTAGAGTTTATTCCTTTTTCATCTAGAAAGGGAGGAAGGCTCTTAACTTTGGAACATGTTATGGGTAAGGTTGACAAAAAAGAGACTAAATGGGTTTGTTTAGATCTTTTCTTACTTTATGTACGTGTACTGTATATATACTATAAGTATATTGGTACGATATCCCATGTCTATAGAACACATAGATATGCAGTGATCTTCAGAGAGCTGCATTATTAATTTAGCTGTGTTGCAGAAAGGAGCCCATTGACTCCTCTTCCTCAGCCCTATTCCCATGTTATCACCATACTATCAAAAATTTTGGCTCTCAAGTTATATTCCACTCTTTAGAAAAGAGGCTAATTAAGTCTTGTATTAAAGTGAAAATGTTTTCAAAAGGCATGATATACACTAATATTTTCTATTCTTATTTCCAGACTGGAAATTTGGTGTCAAGGACTGTTGAAAAGGGATGGGGTGTTTTATAGGACAGAAGCTGGAGTGATACAGGTGAAGTTTTTGACTTTAGTCTTAAGATGGTTCTGTTAAGAAATTATAGTTGGTTCTCTAAAAAGATCCACAGCATATTACAGTCAATCTTGGTCTTGATTCTGCAAAGATTCAGGCAAAGGCATGGACTCCTGGTGGTTTGTCTGACTTATGGTCCATTTAAATAAAATCAGCAGTACAAGATTAAAAAAAAATCTCTCTGATCTATCTGACCTGTCCCAGCCTCTTTTATCTAAAATGAGGTGGCAAAGTTGGGTTACAGAGAAAAGATATTGTTTTAAAGTCAAAAGGGGGCACAATATCCTTTTAGTTGATGACTAACAATCCCCCTGAGGCCCTTGAAGAATATGTTGATTAAATTATGGGAGAGCTTTCCACTTGGGGAATAATATACACTTCACTAACAATATTGGGCTTTTCATCAGGAAAGGTTATTAGAAATAAAGCGACAAGAAAGTAATTACAGACCTCCTAGGCCAGTGACAGCAAAACTTTTAGAGCTTTCAATGATAAAAAATAGCCAGCTGTGGCATGAGTGCCACAGACTCACCACCGATATTTTAGCCTAATTACTCTGCAGAAGATCTATTTAGAAGACATAAAAGATAACAATCACAATAAAGTTAATTTCCCCATAACCTATTTCTAGCACTAGGTAGATAGTAGGGAGTCAAATTAGTTATGCATTCATGGCAAATATTAAAGACAGTTGACCTTATTTGGTTGATTAAATTACTATTAATATAGTTGACTATTAAATGGAATATAGGATACATAGTTTTTTTAAAAAAATTAGTTGCCAAATTAAAACACTGGGAAAATTCATGTAAAATCCAAATGTGTTTTTATCTGGGAAAATAGAATATCTGACAAACTTGTTCTCTAATTCTCACATGTCTACAACTAACTGACCAGAAAGACTTCCTTTAGGTCAGTCATGTGCTCCCTTCTTGCCCATAGTTGCCCTGTTCCTACCACACTCCAGCTTTATTCACTTATGAGATGTTAGCCTCTGTGAGCATTTCAGTGTTGTTGATGGTAAAACTGGATAATTCCTTCCAAACAAGAAAATAATATAAATATGCAAATCGAATCTACTTTGGGTCCTTCATGATGTGGCTTTACTCTAAGTATAATTTCTTCTTATTGGATTAATCCAATATTTGGATGACCCTTGCTTCCTCTCCTTTGGAATGCTTATCAACAAGGTTCCAAAGACTCCCTTGAGAAGAGCAGGTTGATTTCATACAATAATCTTATATATTACAGTTTTCTACAGCAAAGAAAACAATATAGAGAGGGAGTTTTCTATATAAAGGGAATCAGCAACTGGCCCTTGATTATAGAAGAACATTGTATATGCAACTCTTATGCAAGAAGAAATTATTGTATGGATGTGTATTTCTACAAGGCTATAATTTCCCTAGGAAAAACGGTGCTACAGAATTTAAAAAACAGGAACATTTGGAAGTTTTAGATAGTTATCATTTGTTAAATCTAGCTTATTTGCCAAGAAAATTATTATAATTTAAGTTTTATCCTTTCCCTTTTTATAGAGAGAGCTTTGCTTTCACATCTATCTACATGGAACACCACTCCTTTAAATGTAGAATTGTCATCTACAAGCATAGTCCATTTTCTTATATTCTCATAGAACATTAGACAGAAAAAAATAAGCATATAAATGTTGAAAAAATAGTATAATGAGGATTAACAGAAAATCTCCTCTATAAAGTATTTGTTTGAGTTAAAATAATGAAATCTATATACCCTCAAATCATCATCTTGTGATTGAACTTGAAAAAGACAGTAATGAAAAGTTTATTAGGTGAAATACATGAGACTCTTCAGTTCAGATCATGCCTCTGACCCAGGTGGACATTTCTCTTATTTGTTAGTCTGCTAAAGGCGTGACAGACCTTCTCAAAGTATGGAATATGCTCCAAGTAAGCCACATTTCCCATCTCAGTTCTGGCTAATGCTGTGCCACTCTTACCGATAGGCGTCCCCACTCCATAACCTTTGGAGTCGATGAGGCCCCCGATCTGGGTGAGGTTGCAGTTTCTCTGTGTCACATACTCGATGCTAGTGGACTCCATCAGCAGGGCGTAGTCCATGGTGAGCACTCTTTGGATACCCTCATCACTGTTTTTCACCAGGGCACTCTGTTGCCTACTGCTCATGAAAGCCCACATCTTCTCGTAAGTGGATATCTTTGATTTCTGCAGAGAAAAAGCACACCCACCAGCAGAAGAGTGCTGAAAAAAACATGGCCTAAAGCTACTCAACATCTCAGAGGTTCAAGAATTATGGGGAAAATTCTTTCTCCTCAGGTGGGGAACTGAGATGGATGACCCTGGGACTTCAGTTTGATAGCCAAGGAGAGCCTAATTCACCACAGGGGGTGTTTTATTGTTTTCAGGTATGTAAGTTTCTGTACCTCACCAGCATTTCTTTGAGCTGAGCACAAACCTGGGATAAAGCACTTGTGGTCTCTGCTTTGTTTGTGAAAGAAATCCCATTCACTCTTCTCTTTTCTAGAATATCTAAATGCAAATACCCTTTTCAAGTTAATATTCATATCAGAAAATTCTTCATACTTCTTAGGTCTATAATTTTTTTTTCATTGCAATCATATTTTAGAAAATGAGGACTATATATCTCATTTCCAAGTGTAAGGATTTTTTCCCTTTTCTTTAACACTTTGATAGATTCAGTAATAAACTCTCTCTCTATATATACGATATATAATATATGCATCTATACATATACACCATTACCTCATTATCTTCTTTTTGTGTTAAAATGTACTGCCTAAATGTTCATATTGCTTAGATGTGAATTTTCCATTCTTTTGAATAGTGATCTATGATTAGCCGTTTTGCATTTTTCTTTGTAATTTTCATACTGTTGTAGGTTTTTTCCTCTGCATTTTTCTTTATTTGCAGCAGTACTCTCCTCTGTTTCAAAGATGAAAGCCATTATTCGAATCACTGATAGTCTCAAGCTAACCCATATATATATATATATATATATATATATATATATATATATATCACAATCACACATTAGCCAGACTTCTTGGCAAGCACAGAATGCATCATCCTAAAAATGCAGAGAAGCTTAAAATGTTATTCGGGGAATAAGAATGGAATACCTGTAGAATCAACTCTAACATGGTTATTCATGCTCAAGTATTCCAGGGAACAAATTCAATTTCTAACTCTATTTGAGACCTGGTTTAATCTATAGGTTTCATGAGCCAGGGAAGGACAGATGGATTTATTTTGGATTGATAGGCATTGAAAGAGTTCCCTGAGAGAAATCTTGTGAGACAAATAACAATTCAATAAACAAGTACCTTAGAGATATTGGTATTTTATAGGATCCATTTGGTAGTGATTAGGCCCTTGAAAAGTCCTGCTCAACCCCAGAGACATCTACAAATTAGAACTCCTGTCTATATAACAAAGGCATGTTTTGGGGGTCAGGGCAAATGCTTCATTTGTGTGATTTTAGCCTTGAAAAGTCAGATATTGCTAAACTCATAATGAAATGCTGCTTGTACAAATGCAGGGAGGTCAAGCTGCCTTTTGGTAGTAAATGTGCAGCTGAGAAAATTACTCCTTCATCAGGAAACTACCTGAAGGGAAAATAATTCTCTTTGAAGTATGCAATTTTAAAGTTGTCAGAGACATTACAAATAGATTCAAACTGACACTTTTATAGAAAGGAAAAGTTTGGTAGAAAACTTGTTTGGAGATTTCAAAAAGTCACAAAGCAAATTAATATGAGAGCTAATCCTGGACTTCAGGACCCTCTTATACCTGGTTCAATGCTGTTTACACTGTATCATGCTGATTTTGGGAGAAGGTAGATGTCTATATAGCCACAATTCTTTTGAAAATGATTTTAATTTTACTTGATCCACATGTGGAAATACAGCTTATATTCATGGGCTGCTATTGTCCCCTGAGGCATTTGCTAATTGGTCTCATGTTAATATAAAATAGAAATCAGCCTCAAAAAAATCCATGAAATTTATTTTCCCCATCATATTTAGATTATATGAAATAAGTACTATAAAAAGTTACAAAACTGTTTTTTAAGTATAGGAAACTTGTGTACAAAAAGTAAATGGTACAGTGATTTCATACAGTAAATGGCAAAGTATGAGGAGTCCTTTACAGCATCCAGGAAATGGAAAGACAAGGAAACACTAATCCTGCAAGCTATTATTGGATCCCAATAAGGAATGGTTCTCAAATTTTCTGCAGTGAAGGATTTTATTATTTTCAATCCATGGCAGACCCAGCTAGCTGTGGCCTTATGGCATCTGACTAGGATGCAACTCGTTCCACATCTATTTGAGTGCTCAGCAGAACTCTACAAGGTCTTCACTTAAGGATATCAGAGATCTTTTACTTGGTGCCACCACAATATTCAATCTCCTGGAAATCTGTTTGCATCTGTTTTATGGATTCTATTTGTTTCCTATGTTGGAGTCCATCATGTTCCTTAGCTCCTCTCTAGGTTTATTAATCATGTCTTGCACTATGAGGACAATCTCTGCTGTTATCTGAGAAATTATTTCTGATTTCATTTTTTCCAGATCCTCTTTTCTTGCCAGTTCAGTGGGTCCAGGTGGTTGAATATTAGAGTGTTCCATCTCATTTCCCTTTGGGGTTGCTGTAGGTGATCTGGAAGTCTGGTGTTTTTTTGTTTTTTTTGGTTTACTCTCTTGATTTATTGTAAGTATGAAAGGTTATGACTCATGGAAGTCTGGTTTTGAGACTTGTTTTCGTGTCTTCTCATTTCGACGGAGTGGGGTGGGGTGCTGTTGGTGCCTGCACGGCTCACCTTCTCTGTTCTGGGAGTTGTGGAAAGGCGGCCCAGAGGCCTCTTCCTCTGTGCTGGGAGCAGCCACCACAATATTCAATAACTGCAAGATTTCTGAACTCTTACTCAGTTATTTTTCCTTATCTTATCACAGCTTGGTGCCAAATTATGTCCCGAGTCAGAGTGTTCTTCATGGCACACATTGAGTCCCATTGCTCTATGGACCTGTGATCATTGTCTAACAGCAGCCACTTCTACATTTTTGGAGTTCAGGGTTATTCTGGACTGAGTGCTCCGAACTGCTACAGGGAAAATCAAGGTGGCATAGACTCCTTTGAAATGTAGAGTGTAGAACTTTCTTTCTGTAAGAAAATTGTTACTTAGTGGGAACTCGATCAAAGTGAAGGTAGAGAAACCATTGTAGGCTTTTTTTTGATCCCTTGCTATTTTTTCTTCACTCCAATGATAGTAAGCATAATGGAAAATAGAAAAGCAGCATTCTGGTTTCTTTTAAAGTTCTCCTTCATCATTTATTCTGTTTGTTAGTGTACAGCTCCACCGAAATATAGGCTAGTTGAGATACAAGAGAGTCTAGCATTCCATGAAGACCAAAAATGCAGCTGAGGAAGTGTGAAATATCTGTAGATAGCTCAAGCATCTTAGGATACAGTGAGTTTTCTACCACTGAAAACCTACTAGGAGAACTACATTCTTGGGAATTTCCTCTTAATGATCCCCAGACACTTTGGTTCTACTCTGTGATTCAGTCCCTTCATAAAATTTATTCAGATCCTGAGGTCAGGAACAAAAAGTGACACACAGAAGGTCCCCATTGGTGAGTGAAAGAACAAGTAGAGAATTGAGGCTTCTTTCCTTCTTTCTCTTGAGTTCTGGGCACTGTTATGCCATGATCAATAATGCTTATTTTTGTTAGGTCAAAAAGTAGCATTTTGAGGGTAAATTAGATATATCCTTTTTAGGGGGCCTGTTTTCATTTTGAAGACAAAAATCTTCATAATTCTTAAAAACAGGATTATGCTTGATGGAAAATTACCATAAATATTAAAAGAATAAGCTGACTGAATGACAGTGTCAGTGTTTATGTACTTCTAAATGCTCTACTGTCTTAGCTATTCTGCTAAATAACATAATACACAGTATATTTAAAAAATGGAACCAGTGATTTCCTCTCACTCATTGAAGATGTCAAAAGTTAATTAGAATATTTGTAAAGTCCTTTGAGCTTCTTAGAAAAGCTTGCTAGAAATGAAAAAGCCTCATTCATGAAATCTGAAATCACCCAGGAATATTTTTTTTAATCCTCAGAGCCATCAGGTAGAGATAAATTTATTTTGCCTATTTAAACCTGATTATGTGGTCACTCTGATGCTGATGAAACATTGTTGGCAGAGAGAAGCATTCCTCATTGGGAATCTGTTAGAAGAGAGTATTACATCAATGGTGATGACCATTATTTATTTCTCTCTTTCTTTCTAGATGCAATACCTACAAGGTAAACATTCACTGGGAAGCAATTTACACTGTGTCTGTGGGCAGTTACAAACTAATTGAAAAATAGCAATAACAACTACAGCAAAGAGTGTTTTAGTGTAATCAGGGCATTATTCTGAACACTATGCATATCTTAATTTACTTAATCTTTGTTATGATCATATAAGGGAGCTACTATTATTAGTTGTGCTTTACAGATGTGGAAATGGAACATCACCTAAAAAAAAAGCTGGTAAAGCCAAGATTTGACTCTAGTAATCTTGTTTTAGAGTTTGTTATTTAACAAACAAGGAATCAACTATTTGTTTTAATATACAGCATAAACTCATGACATGAAGAATGCTTCAATAGAAGTAACAAATTCTCTGAAGAAATAATTGAAATTAGTAGTTATAGAATGTTTCTATTATAGCAAGTGCTATCACAACTTTTGTACCCAGCCTATAATGTATAGAAACTATTAACATAATTTTTAACAGCTACTTGTTTAAATAAATTTTAAACAGTGTTTTCAGGATGTGTGACAACTACAATCTGGAAGGAAATGTGTTTATTGTTTGTATTTTTTTTTTTCTTACCCTTAATAGTATTTTGCCTTCCATAGAGCTCCACTGTTTTTGGCTGTGGGGTTTCTGCAATACAATGTGAAGTGTGTGCAAATTTTGGGGTATAATATACTTTTGAGACTGATACAACTTTCATTTATGGAAATCTCTCTCTAATGTTTCATTTTTATTGAGTTAAACATACCTTATCACATTATTTCTCCAACTAGGTTATAGGGCTTCTATTAAGATGTAAATTCCTGTTATTCGGTACAATCAATAGCTGTGCAATTCTACTTCAGACCAGTGTGTTTGAAGATTTTATA